ACAGGGTTCAAAAATGGTTTACAAAACAACTGTTACAAAGGTCCAACAACTTCAATGCTAGTTTTTTTAAGTAAATTGTGATGTAATTGAAGAGGACACAGAAAATTCAGTTTCTTGTTTTATTGTAAACTATCTTATTAAACTCTGCATTGATCTGTCATTCATTTATCACTATTGTTTATTAGGATAGCATAAGCCATTGTTCAACTTTTGTGCAACATTCCTTCACACTAACACCAATAACTGCATTTTCATCACATGTGTTTGTGAAAAAACACAGAGTATAATGAAGTAACAATTTTTATTGAAGTTATATTTTAATCTGTTTTTATGAAACTGAAATGCGGTGCATTGCTCTGCTATTTGTTTTTCATAATCTATTAGACAGGAATTGTAGCTATTCCCACACTATTCACCCACTTGTAGTGCATTCCTGCCCTCCAGTGGCAATTTAATACTTAATGGGGGCCCTAGGCAAATGCAACCCATCCTGGTTTCATTGATCTTCCCCTTTATGATATGTGTCATTAGTAGAACTTGGAATTTTAGACAAAAAAAAGATTAGATACCTAAATCATCAGTTCTTTGAGGTTACAAAATTATGAAATTAGGCATGAAAATCGATTATTTAGGCACTTAAAATAGGTTACAAAATGATTAATCCAGGCATTTAAAAACATTAGACGGAAAAAGTTATGTTTCTGGCATCTAAAACTGATCAGAAAAAGAATAAATTAGGTACTTTTTATTATTAATGAAAGTCAAGTATTTTTACATATAGTAACTTCACACATTTTATTCACTTTCGTAGTTAGCAGCACTATATATAATCATGTTTTTCGTCACATTTTCTTCAGTAAGGCTGTCTTATCTGTTAAAATCCTTTCGAAAGCTGAAAAGGACCTTTCCAATCTCACAGTGTTATAGGGGCAATCTTAAATTTACTCACATTTCTCATGCCCGTTCTTCTGTAAATCCCCCGTCCACTCATCAAAACTTGTACCACCCGACCCATATTTTGGGATTTGTTTTTATTACGTGCTTGCATGTACACTTTCCTTTGTTCGCAACGGCTCGCTTAGCCACACTAAGTTTTGCTTCGCCATCTTACACCATTGATACTTGATCAGCATCAACCTGGCAACAGCACAGCTGCAATAGGTGCGAGGATACAATTGCCTAAGAAGTGTGTGCTGACCGGAGACGAGCATGAAAAATCCTCTTCATATTGACGTCTGGAGCTTCTTATATTCAGTGTGTTGGGTGGTATATTTTGAAGCATAGTCAATTGCGTATTCAACCAGGAAATATTCGGGTTTCGGGAAATTCGGGATGATATTGGTGTTTTGGTATAACAAATTTTAAAAAATGAGGAAATAAAAAATGATACATCTTCAAAATTACTTGCTTTAGGTTGTTTTAGGCAAATAAATATAAAACTTGACATGTACCACCCTTTTAGGACATTTAGAAACTATTAAATACTTTCAGTTCTTCTACTTTTTCATTATTTGAAAACATTTGCAATTATTTTCCACAATCTCTTAAAGGAAGTCCTAAAATCCAAGGTCTATTTGTTTGGGAATGCACTCTAAATTTATACATTAACACAACTTTAAAAAATGATGATGCAAAATTTCTTTGTATTAAATTTTTGAATTGTCAGAAAACATGTCGACAAAAAGAGTGACCTTGCGTTCAGTAATAAAAAATAGTTTTCAATGTTTAAGATGTACTCATTTTCACTTTTGTTATATGCTGTCATTGAATTTGATAGTTGCATTTATGAGCTCAAAATTTCTGAAATATTAATACATGGTTACAGAAATAAATTATCTGTCTCGGTTACATTAAAAAAAAATTTCATTTTGTGGGGGCCCGTGCCCGCTACGGGTTCTGGAAATTGCCTAGCACTGCCTATTGGTTAATCCACCACAGCGTGGCTCACTAATCTACTTCGTCTTCCCCTGTCCCCCCCCCCCTTCAAGCCCCTGNNNCAAAGATATAGACGTCGCACCACAGCATTTAACAGAGATTATACAGAACACTGCGTGGAGAGCAACATCAAAAATTGACATAATGAAGAACTCACCGTATCCCATAAAAAATAGGCAAAAATAGCTGAAAAACGTCGTCTTCGTAGAATCTATATGTACACCCGACAATCTGAAGACAAAAAGAAACTTATCGCATCAGCCCAACAGCTAAAAAGAGAATTAAAGGAGTACCAAAATACCAGATTTTCCAATTACGTAAAATCTTTGACACCAGCAGCTACAACTAATTAGTCGCTGTGAAAAGAAAAAAATAAATCGGCCACAACACATCTCGCCTATTAATAAAGAGGACAGTACTTGGGCAAGAAGTCCTGAAGAAAAGGCTAAACACGTTTCTACAGTATACAAACTAATAGATAAACGAAGTTTTTCGGAAAATGGGGTAATGGAATTTTTACAGGCTCCGCACCAACAGTAGGTACCTATAAAAATGTTTAATTTAAGTGAAATAGAAGAAACCATTAAAAAGCACTTTAACCCTACCAAAAGCCCAAGACATGATCTTATAACCGATAAAATATTACAAGAATTACCCAAGAAAACGCTATCATTCATAACATACATCTCAATAAGTAAGAGGCACTATCCGAATCTATGGAAGCATGCACAAGCTATAGTAAAATCTGGAAAACCGATTACAGAAGCTGCATAATTCAGTCCAATAAGTCTTCTATCGGTTTTATAAAAGATCTTTGAAAAATTACTTCTTCGACGGCTTAGACCAATATTAAAAAATATAATACCAGAGTTTCAATATACATTTCGGAAAGGTCAGTTAACGATAGATCAGACACGCCGAATGGTAAACAAAATATCGCAAAAGTCTCGAAGAAAATAAATATTGTTCTGCCGCTTTCTTGGACATACAATCTAACTGTAACAAGTATTGTATTTCTAGGCCAATGACCCCATCTCGATCAGGTTTTGTTCAGTTTCCTTGGTCCTTTGAGCAAATGCTGAGATGGCCCCTTTTTTGCTCCTGAACAGTAATATAACTTCGCTCTCTCCACCCAAGGCATCATATTGACTCGTCATACACGATTGTAATTGTATATGTGACTCAATAAATATTATTATTATTACTATTATTATTATTATTATTATTATTATTATGAGTCCATTTTGTAAAGTTGCCCATTCTGGAAGTCCCTTTGTCGGCTCGGCTGCAGTTACAGCCACATCTGAGCTAGTCTACAAGCGATGTTGTGTGCATAGAATATCTTTATTTCAAGATATACTAGGGTAGTGAAATTTTCGAAATAAAATAATTTTGTGAAAAACTTATCCAGTGCTTGTTGATAAGTACTGGAGTGCGGTCATTATATTTGCGATCTTTTTTGTTTTGTATAAGTTCTATTACCATCAATTGTCGATGCAGAACTACAGTACCGGCTGCGTATCAGTGACTAGTATTACTTGCTCACAACCATCGTTCCGTCGCCGCTCAGCTGACTCGCACGAAGTCGCGGATGCGAAAAGGTTCGGCTATGGCCAAGGTTATGATGATCGTGATGTCAAGACGTGTCGTCGCCTGTCAGTAAGTGTTAATGTTTTGGAATTTAATTTATCTGGCATGTACGCTATGTAGTGCCATGGACGTAGTAAAACGTGGCAATAGCTCATCGAACTGTCAGAGTCGCTTATATGCTGCAGGATACTATAATCGTATCATTCAAAGCCAGAATCACGTGCACGGAAGGTGTATATACCTGACACGGACACTATTCTGCGATTTTCGCACTCTGCTCCTGGTAGGTTGTTGATAGTTTCATTCAATCTGGAGCTTGGACGTCACCATAGTGACGTCACTATGTTGACATTCAAGTTCCCGATTGGACAAAACCGTCAACTGATGATATTTGCCTGGGGCAGAG